TACCACATGCTCATATAATAATTAAATCATCTTCAAACCTGCTTGAACCTGAGAATATTGATAAAGTGATAAGTGCTGAATTACCTGTGGTAATAATCTTCAACAAAGTGATCTTCGTAACTTAGTAAAACAATATATGATTCATAAATGTATTTCAAGGTGTGTACAATGCAGTAATAGTTGTCATTGGAATTATTCTAAACCTTTAAGAGAAAGTACTACAGTAAATGAATATAGCCATGTTCATTATTGACGACGTACTGAAAATGATGAAAATATTGTACCATACAATCTTTTTCTTTTGTTGAAACTACATTCACATAAAAATGTTGAAGTAGCTTCTACTTCACATGTAGTCTCATACCTTTATAAGTATATTTACAAAGGTTCAGATCGGGCATCAGTTACTGTTCATGTAGGAGAAAATGATGAAATGATTGATGAGATTAAAGATTATATTAATGCACGTTATCTTTCTGCAATAGAAGCAGTTTAGCGCATTTTTAAGTACAGAATAACTTCGCAATTACCATCAGTAACATGTTTGCCAGTTCATTTACCTGGTGAACAAACTATATTATGGGAAGGTAATAATAACCTTTCTACTTTACAATGTTATTTTCTCTGCCCAACAAATATAGAATTTGATGCACTTATTTATTGTAAGTACTACGAATTGTACACATTTACTTATGCTAAAGATTTAGTCAATCAACAATCACTGCCTCCAAATAATTATTTAGAAAAAGAATAAGAAGGTTGTCAACGACGTATTGTCAAGCCGTATAAGCCAAATCATATACATGTAACAAGAATAAACATAATATGGCCATGTGTGGGTAAAAAATATTATCTTCACATGCTTTTAAGTTGTCATGCAGCTAGGTCATTTAAAGAACTATGTATAGTAAATGGTATATTATACTCAAACTTTCAAGATGTAGCATATGTCTTTGGATTACTAGAGGATATAAATGAAAATGAGCAATGCTTTGCTGAAGCTGTAACTTACAAATGTACTCCAGCACAGCTTAGATTGCTTTTTTGTTGTCTTATACTAGAAGGTATAGTGGCACAATCTGTTTGGCAAATCCATCATGAATTATTATTAGCAGATTATATTAATAAGAAAGGTGATATCCAACAAGGAGAGAATGATGCTTTAATGTGGATAGCAAGTTTTTTAGAAGAGCATGGTAGCCAAATAACACAATTTGGTTTACCTTAACTATCAGAACATCTTGACAAAATAATACGCATTCAAGTACGTTATAATGATTACAATACACTGATTGCAACATGTGATAAAATGATAAGTAAGCTTAACTTTGAACAAAAAAACGTTTATCAAAAAATTATGAATCATGTATTGAACAACAAACCCTTATTAATTTTT